TTTTTTTGTAATTGACAACTAAATGTAAAAAATAGAAAAATTTTTTTATTTCTTGATTTGTCCTCTGTTTAACTAAAAGAAATAAAATTTTTTTGTATTAACAAACCAAATCTTTCTTCTTGAAGATTTTCAAATTCTGCAGGTGCTGGAAAATTGTAACGATTATTGTGTACAGCAAATTCGCCGTAATAATTGCGATAGGATTGCCATGTATACAGTGGACTTAAGCCACTGAAATAATTTAAAAATTATTCTCAGATAATTAGTTAAATTATAAGATCTACCCAAAAAAGTAAGAGCTGCTTTTTCTCCTCTTTTTTCTTCCGTATTTTTCTAAATGGTAACAGATATTTCCTAACTGTTGCTTATAACACCTATTTGGTTGAAACAAATAAACTATAATTTGCTGCCATCGATAAAATAAGTCACAAATTGCAATTTGGTTTTAGCACTTTATTAAGTGCTTAATCAAGACTGAGACACCACTTACATTTGTCTTGTCCCCTAAACTCTCCCGCAATTAATGACGTCATATAATACACTTGGTAAAAAAAAAAAAACTTAATTTCTAAACTCAAAACCTTACTTAAGACTGTAAAATAAAAACAATTTCCAAAAGTTTTTTTTAAAATTTAATGCTTAATAAATCTAATCCTTGCAAACTCGACTAATTCAAACCCAAAATGCTTGCTTTTTAAAATCATTATATTACTTAAAATATCCTAGACATCCACCTTAGACATAATGCTACAAATAAACTAGGTTTTTAAAACACATGCCATTCTGCGTCATCTATACAGGTTATTCTGGTTAAGTTTTAAGCATTACAGAAACGTATAATCGTTTAACAGTCTTCAGAACCTTGACTGTTTACTATCAAGTAAAACGTCCAAGCGATTATTAATAGTTCCAAAATGTCCAGTTGGCTAAGAGCTCTGTGACAGTAGAGAATAAAAGATAGAAATAATTTAACAAACTCGAATTTGTACAGACCAACGAACAATCGCGTAAAAAGTTACAGATTTTCTCAGTCAGTGACTTATGCCGTTTTGAGTACACTGCAAAAACTAATTGGCTTCTGATCAGGTAAGCGGCAAACAGATTTTCTTTGGTGTTTTTTTTTTTTTTTTTGCCTTAGTAAAATCTTTTATATTAGTAAAGATTTGTGTTTCCTTATAAGACAGCTACTTTAAATGACAAATGAGTTTGTTACAATAACTTAGCGAACTCAACTCAGTCGTAAGACAGGGCTAAAAAACAAGAAAAATGATCTAATTCCAGACAACAATTACAAGTGTCTTTTTGTTCTCGCGACTCACCAAAGACACATACAGCGACTTCAAAAATAACTTAAAAGTAATACTCAAAAATAATAAAATTTGTAAATGTCAGTTCATTGTAAATAACTTAAAAAATGCTGCTAAGAAAATGTAATTCTCTAAAATAATTTCATATTTTAGTTTTAAGAAAAAAATTTTTGTTTCCTAATAAAACAGTAATTTTGTTCAAAATCGCCGAACTGCTTTGGACTTATCAAAATCCATAAAGTCATTTTTATTTTAAGCTGTGCCATAATTCTGTGGGTGTCATTCAAAGAAAAATTTCTAAGCAGTTTTTGGAAAGCATTTTCTTCTTTCAAAGAGTAACTGCTATTTTTTTTTTTTGAGTTCAAATTCAATTAAAAATTTTATAGAAGTCTTTACCTCAATAAGTATCTGAATTGAAACTGAATTATAACAAATGAAGAGACGGAAACTATTTCGAGACTACGTCGCATGTTCAGGAAAACAATTTTTTTTCTTCTAGAAACTTCACTGTACATTATTTTAAAGTCTTTATTCAAGTCATGTAACCCCTACCTATCAGTTTTTCCAACGGTATATTTATTCTTAATTATAATTTTTTTATTTCCGTATTGAGTAAACAGAAATGAGCCCAAATCAATATTCAGAAAGGAGAGGGCTTCACTCGAAAGATCCTACTAGATCTTCACAGTTCATAAACCTTGAAATAAAATTTATAAAGTTCAGAAAACAATCCATGCAACGACAACAATTCTATTACCAGTGACAGCCTGTTGTCAATTGGAAAAGGGTATTACTAAGACGTTAAAAAAAGGTAGAAATTATTTTACATCATGTTGACAAAAAATCCGCACAAAACAGGAACACAAAACTAAATAAAATTTTGCTTCAACTGAAGCCAGAAAAGATGAAAAGTAAATTACTTATCTAATAATGTACAAAGCGAATAATCTTGCCTTACAAGTGGTTTCTTTAAAAATTAACCACATTTGATAGTCAAATCCTAACAAAGTATTATATCTCAGAAGAATCAAGCTAAAGCTACTTCCTGCAAAACCTTCATAAAGTTAGTGTCGAAGTATCTAAGATATTTTTACCGGCTATATTTAGTCGTTTATAAAATTCTTCAAAATTAGAAATGTAAACTGTTAAAAAAATTTTTGATTCCAATCCCTAAATCTTTTGCAGCTGAGATTCGTGGAAACATATTTGTTAAAAACCAGTTTTCATTTTCCGGAACATTTTAGCCCTTAACACGCAGAACAGAATATTTAAAAATTAAATTTCTGTCGGCAAAACCTTTAAAAAATGTTGGTCTTTTTAAGGTTAATGTTTTTGACACAATTATTATTAATAAAAAAAAAAAAAAAAACGCGTGAAAATGTCTTGTCAACAGAGGTCTACTAAACTGTAGTGATAGTTATTATTAATATTCGAGACTAATTGAAAAACTTTTTGGTTTTTCTAAACGTTAACACTTTTTTTCACGTCTCAATCATCTACAAATTCCTGTAAATCGTCTACATTTTATTCATCTGCCATGAGTCCAACAAAATATTATTTTATAGATCATTTTAAATGTATAACAAAATATTAGACGTTGTGAGTGTTAGCTTCTCACGTGAACTGAAGTAATACGAAACAATGTCTAGTTAGAAAGATCACTGATTTAATAAATCATTGCTCACTAACAGCACACTGATTAATTGTAAAATAAAAGCTAAAGAAAAAAGAGCTTTTCTTTGAATTCAACAACTGTGATACCGGAAATAAATCAATTAAGTTCAATAAAAGTTAATTTAAAAAAAAAAAACCGTCCCTAAACCGAAAAAAAATTTTTTTCTGCAATGTGAGTTGGCGAACGGTTTAAAGGGTGATTTTTTCCCTGTCCCCGAAAAATTCATCAACGAAATGGTAGCATAGAAAAGAGAAAGGAAAAGAACAATGTATGAACAACTGACAATCAAAAAATTTTATCCTATTGACATATCACGTGTAAAGTTGCAGCTGCTTTCCACGTTCAAAATGTTGCCTATTTGGAAAAGGTACGGTCCATATGGCAAGTTCGACAAAATAGTTTTCTCATCATAATCACAGTTATTCGTCCACTCAACAGATGGAAGTGTACCAATGAAGATCGGAAGTCTGGTAAAACACTTCACCACAATATTGCAATGTGGCCTACTCGTTTGCTCTACCGCTTTCTCATCTCCACAAAAACCAACGAAACCAATATGTCAACAACTGGTTCCTTTTCTTCTCCGTTTGTTTCATACACCGCTCATCTTCGGTGTTTCATATGTCAACAACTAAGCAAGCCTAAAGAGAAGCAGTAATCGATGTAGAAGAAAGTAAAAAAGAAAAACTGTTTTTTGGTTTCATCTACTCAACAAATTAATAGTGTAAAAATATGGGGAAAAAATTGTGGAGGAGAACGTGTGGGAAACATTCCATTTGATGATGAATTTATTCCTTCCAAAAAATATTTTAAAAGGTCATCTTCAGACTAAGAAAGAACCAAAAAAAGATTTTCTTCTCTATTTGTTCCGCATTAACGATATTTATTAAAAGAAGAATTAATCTTTATTATCTTTAAAATATTATAGCTAATAGAATAAAAGTCTCTTTTTAAAGCTTTTAAAGTTTCTTAATTTTCAAGCAGTTTGAACCTACAAGATAAATAAAAATATTCTAAAAAATCCAGATCCCACAACAACAAACCAAACTTTTGTAAGCGTTGTTAAATAAGACATATTGAAGAAAAAAATACAAAAATATCTCATTATTTGTTGACACTATTACGATAAATGCTGCGATTACAAAAGTAATCTTAGATTGATAAAAATCTTTGATATTGCTTTAATCACTCACTTTTGAAAAAAGTTTTTTTTAAAGACCTCAAAATCAAAATTTTTAATGAACATTTGTGTTACTGTACAGCGTAAAAGTCATCAAAGTTTTATACTACCTGGTCCATTTTTGATTTTATGAAAAATGGTAACCTATCAAATTTATCCACATTTTGCTTCCAGATTTACACCCTAAAGCAATGGTACCTAACTAACTGAAGTTGCCTGTCTACATCATCATGCAGCTCTTTTTAACTGTACTTAACAGAATGCGTCTAAATGAATAGGCTGCCACATGTTTCCTCAGTAATGAGAAAAATTCAAAGCACTCTTTCTAATGGCCAACAGTGATCTTCTAAATAAACTTGTCCCAGTCCAGCTATCAATTGTGACGTTGTGACGTTCAGGAAGGTTTAAACAAAAGCTAACGTAATTTTCGGAGAGAGTTATTATTGAAAAGTTTTTTGACACACCTCTTGGCAGTTCAAGGCAAAAAACTGCTGATAGATTCAATTGTGCGTCATAGTGTCGTTGTTAGAAAAAAAGAAAGAACTTTACTGGCAGTCTTAATTATAATTTATCATCTGGTACCTCCGTATAGTTCTAATGTTTAAATAAACCAGAGGAAAAATACTACACAGTGTTATATCAAAAAAACAGAAGCGTAACAAACAAGTAAGAGAAGCTAAAAGTATAATAACTGAGACAATGCCCAAACCTTTAGAATGTCTTCACTTTCGTTCACAAAATGCTAACTGATAAGCAAAATACCTAGTTAAATTTTAGTAAAGGTATTAAGATTTAACCGATAAACTGTATTCTTCTAACAGTCCTTAATCTCGACTCCGTCCATCTATCACGCCATTACAAAATTCTGACACTATAAGCATGAATCTTAATTTGTAGAAAAAAGTTTTACGAAAAAAGAACTACAACTATATCATTTTCTATTACTGTCTTCCAAATTATATAAACATCAGGATAATTTTTAAAAACAAATCTTAAAGTACTCTATTCTGTGCTAAGAGGCGTAGATACAAGTAGCAGATAATATAAAGCATAAAGCACTCTTAGCGTTTGTTGTTTATTGAATAAGTGATTTTAAAAATTACCACTGATAGCAAAGTATATAATGACTAAGATAGACCAACACTATCTATCGTCCTTTATCTTCAGCAGATATAAAAGCCATTGTCTACACAAATTTACATCGTGCCGAGCAACCGTACCAACTCCATCAATTTTCTAACTTTTTCAAACACGATTTAAACTCCTCAGAAAGTAAACAACTTAAAACGCCTGTTAAAAACTTAGATATTTTAGTTCTGCTGGTATTAAAGGACAAATATGTCGCGTTAATAAAACCCTTTCAGCACAACATTTATATTCTGCATAGGTTCTTCAACAGCACAAGAAAAATGTAAGTCAGTGCTTGTACGTATCATTGTAAGTATAATAATTAACCACCTGTTCGTATACTTTGTTTTCCAGAAACCAAAGCTGTCAAATCCGGAGTTAGTAGGCCCGATTCCAAATGGTCCGTAGCCGTAATCATTTGTAAATGTGCCATGTGGAAAAAGCCTGGAAGATAAACCAACATCATGCGATGTGAAAAACCAATCTCTCCATGTTGAAGGTTTAGTGCAAAACCAAGCGGGAGGAATCGCTAATGCATCAAGCCAATAAATGAAAGACTAACAATTCACGTGTTTCAGTTATCTTGAAAGCTGTGTTGTATCGACAATATTTAATTTGATTAACTGCTGTTAACTAAATTCTAAATTCCTTTCATGCGTTTTTTTCCCATTAACTACTATTTCCTACTTTCAGATGTCTAAAGCAGCAACTATCAGGTGAGTAATTAATACAAATATAAAAATTACCATTGAATTACTGATTCAAAAATATCAGTACTTTATTTAATAATTTTAAAAGAATATGTCATCTACAGTAAAATGATTAAATATTATAATATTATTTTTCAACAACGAGGTATTTTAGTGGTTATATGTAAATTCTTTAGGAAATTAATGCGGTTCTCCCCCAGACGCCCCCCCCCCCCCCCCCCCCCCCCCCCCCCCCCCCACCCC